TTTATTGTATTTCCCCAAAATTTTTTTTTTTTATAAACCCAAAAAAAAAAAAAAAAAAAAAAAAAAAAAAAAAAAAAAATCTGAAATTCTAAACATAAAATGTTACTATTTCATAAAAAAAAAAAAAGAAAACTCAAAATGTGTGTGATCATATGTGATCTTTTTCTGTAGGACAGCACTGGACTGAAATTGTGGAAAAGAAGATGGTTTGTTCTCTCCAATTACTGCCTCTATTATTATAAAGGTAAAACTATTTCTATGTGATTGTCTTATATATATATATATATTTTACTTAAATTAAATGTTTTAAAGTGCAGTCATTTTCCATTTCAAAAAGAATGAAATGACAATTTTTCCCTGAAATCCCTCTCTAAACCTGTGTCTCCAGACAGCCGTGAGGAGTCTGTCCTGGGCAGTATTCCTCTTCCCAGCTACAGGATTCTCTACTGCTCCCCTAGAGAGTGCAGGAACCGGAAATATGCATTCAAGGTGAGAGTGGACATCTTTTGGAGTTCCTAAATCTAAATGTACATATAGTCTCATCGTACACTTGTGCGTGTAGGTTGTTCATCAGGGGATGCGGCCGTACATCATGAGCGCTGAAACCCAGGAGGACATGTTGGGTTGGGTCAGGGCTCTCAGCCAATCAGCAAGCATGGAGGCTGATGACGTCATCAACAGGTGAACCTAAGCTCTCGATCTAGAATCGCTCTACATGTATGGAATCTGCAATTCACTTGAATGACTCTTCTCGTACTTTAGACGCTGTGCCAGTTTTCAGGACTTCACTCAGATGGGATATAACGCTGAAACCATGGAGCTCCAGCACACGGCCATGTTTCCACAACGAAACGCCCAGACCACAACAAAACTGAGCAGGGTGCAGACAGAACCGACTCTACTGGATCAAGACATGATGGGAATTAAAATGAAGACACCAGAGCTGAGAGGAAGACATGAGAGCAGACCAATGTAAATGATCTGAGATGCTTCAGAATGATACAGAATGAAGGACCTTGAAAGAGTCTTCATGGCCTTTTCTACTTAAATATAACTTACACATTTGTAGCATTTAAATTGAAGTTAGTCAAGGTCAATCAAGGTTTCTTATGCCAAAACAGCCATAATTTAGCTTTGGATTACCATTTTCTAATGGTCATCTGTTGTTGTTGTTACTGCCCTCTTAAGAACTCTCTATACAAATCAGTTGTTCTAAACTGGTGAGTGTTATTGAAACCAGATGAGAACCTTTTCTAAGTGACCTCTGTGTTTTTTTAAGACTGGATAATCTCTTTCCATAGATAACAAGGCTTTTCCACTTGGTCCATTATCAGTGGTGCCATCCTGTTCTTCAATAACAGCCTCTCTGCAAATACCTGCAAATTGCAACACATTGCGAACGATTTTCACAAAACAATCCACAAAGCATTAAGATCAGCTCTCTTTCTCTCTGTCAGCGCACCTGAAGCTACTGAGCATTCTCAGCGTTTGCTGAACGCAGATGAGGAACCTCTTTGCTTCCTACATCCGAAAGCAGCCTTCAAGCAGCCTCCTTTTCCCAGAGATCAGTATGGGTCACCGTGCCACAGTAATATGGTCAGAGCGGACCATTGGCCCTTGGATAACTGCTCGAGTGCTCCAATGTCACCCTGCTTCTACACAGAGAGGGGACATCTGCTCGACAAGGTGAGAATAAAGAATATATGCAAATATGCTGATACTGTGCAAAAATACACTTTCTTTAACTGTCTGTCTGTGTTTCAGTCCGAGTTTCCATGTTCTGTGTGCTACTGTTCCAACTACCAGACAGCAGAACACATGACAATGTGCAAGGTAAGACAAATCTGTGACAATAAATTCATGTTATCAAAGTTTCAATGTGAATTTTCCATGCAATACAGCAAATACAAAATTCCTCATTTGTGATCGGACATCCTGTTTAATTTCTGCAAAATAGATCTTTTAAACAGTTTAAAAAAGACAATTTTGTAACACTATCACGTGGTCTCGTCATTTTAAACATTGCTCTAAAATGTTACAGTAAAGCCACATGTAGGCACATATTGCAGTTTATTAGATTTTTTTTCATGCCAGTTTTTTTCCAGCCATGATTCAGCACATAAATGTCATTTAGAACATACTGTAGAAGTCATTGAAATTGCATTTTCAAAACAAGATTACTGGAGTGTTTTACAAGAAAATTATATTTCACTTAACTTCAAAATTTCAAGTTTAATTCAAGGTGTTACAAGGTGTGAAAAGTGTTTCTAAACTATTTTTACACCATTATTTACTTCCTGTTGCTCCAGGCAGGTAAATCAGACATCCTCATGGAGAGAGAAATACAACCAATCAGAGATCTGGAAAACGATACAGATGTGAGTGCACTATAATGTGTATGTTTGTGAGAATTCATAATAAAGTTAAGAATATCTTGTATACCTTTGGGGCTTGAAATAGTCAAGTTGGAGGTTATAAGAGGCTGTATGTTCTTAAGAAAATTTTGTAAAAAATGCAGCTCTTTCTTAAGAACATTTCCATTAATCCAGCCTAGTGTTAGTTTAGTATCCTCAATATACTATTATAGTTTTTATAAATATTTTGAATTCATTCAGTTTTCACTTTAATTTTAAAGTTTTAGTAATTTTGTTGTGTGTTTTTGTCATTTTTTTGTTTAAAATTTAAATTTTTTTAAAATTCTAATTTAAAATGATTAACTTAATAAAATTTTTATTGCAGTTTTAGTTTTATTAATTTTAGTACTTCAACTTAAAACTTAACGAAAATGAGAAATACCAAAGCTACTAACAGAAATAAAATACATTTGTTTCTGTTTTTTCATTTTACTTCAATAATGTATTTTAATTAGTGATGTCAAAATATATATATATATATATATATATATATATATATATATATATTGTGTAAACAAAAACTTTTATTTTGGATGTGATTAATCGCGATTAATCGTTTGACAGCACTAATTTGAATAGTTTAGTTAACTATAATAACCCTGATCCAGATCCTAGAGCTTGTGTCAGGCTTTGAATCCTTGCCTTCCTGTCGTTCAGGTGGTTCTCACTCGTTTGTGTGGTTGTGATAAACTGCTGCAGTCCGTCTCTATGCAGCTGGCTCAGTTACAGGCAGATAAGGTTTGTCGCACAAGCAGATCACATACACTGAAATCATGCAGATAAAAACACCTCACAAGCATTCCTGCCTGCTCTCTCCTTTTCTTTAGAAAAGCATTGAGTATGCTTTAGAAATCAAATGGCTGGGCATGGAAGACGGACTTCCTGGAGAGCAGGAAGTATGCCAGAAGGCTTTGCTTCAGGAGGAGCTGGTTACACTCAGAGCCAGAATATGTGATTTGTCATCGGTACAGTACTGTGTGTATGTGTGTGCTAAGGTTTCACGATTAAATAAAACCAAGATAGCAATATGACTTGGTGAAATAAACTGCAAAGGCTGTGTGTTTCAGAGTGAAGCACAGCAGAGTGTTCATTTACATGCAAAGCAGCTCATGATCCACCGGTGTTTTCAGCTCTGAGCTTGAGTCACTTTAACATGCATTTGGGAACGCAACACGAGCCAGCCATCTTCCCAAACTTGTAATGAGAAGCGCTTATCAACAAGAGAAGCTTTAAGCTTTATCAAAATCAAGTTTGATGGTTTAACATTTGAAAAGCTGAAATTAAGACAGCCATAAATATTAGTATTGTAAGTTTACAGTTGTAAAATAAAATAAAATAATTTTTCTTAAATACTTGTATCTTTTATTTAACGGTGAAATAATACAATATTTTTTGTTTTGTTTTTATTTAGTCATTTTTATATTTGTATTTAGCACTACTCCTACTACTAATTATTATTATTATTTATTATTTTACAGCAATATTGATATATCATCACAAAATGTTACAGACCTACAAACAAGCGATTTTTAACTGCATTTTAAATTAGATTTTTCTCTTCAATTCGTGCAGCACTATTTTGTGCTTATCGTCAAGCCCTGTGCATATTTTGTACAGACTTAATTTTGTTTTGGCAAGTATTTAATTATCTTAGACAGAGAAATAAATGTTAATTTATGCAACAGAGATTATACAATTCAATGCTTTTACGCAGTTAAACTATCGGTTTGTTATATCTGCCTTTTTCATACTATAGCCAATAAGTTGATGGTTTTAAATTGACCATAAATCGGCCGATATATAACATATATGCATCATTTCATGCATGTCATTAATGTATGAATCAGACCTACTAAAGCAATGCCTCTTTTCTTCAGGAGATGGACAGATTGTGGAGTGATTATGAACGGATGGAGAGTGAGCTCTCCGTTTTCCATTCTCACCTCCAACACATCCTTCACTTTGGAGCGCCGCAGGTAATGCACACAAACACTTAAGTGACGCTCTGCTTAAATTACTGTTCATACAGAAACATAAGTACTGTAAACTGTCAGGTTATAAGCATTAAAACGGAATTTCTTTATTTCTTTGGGATAGTGTGGCATAGTGGTTAAAGATATGGACCAGTAATCAAAAGTTTAAAAATTGTAAGTCACTTTAGATGAATGCATCTGCTAAATGACTACTTAAAGATTTCAATCCAAACTCCATAACAGGAGCAGATTCAGGCACAGAGGCAGCTCTGGATGATGGAGGATATCTTGTGCGGTTTGAGGGTGAACAAGAACCGCTTTATGGCCTTACTGGGTCTACAGAGGCAGGGTGGTGAGTAAATGTATCAGTCTGTGTCAAAGTGCATTCATTTTAGTATGCGTACCTAAATAGTCTTCTCATTCTATCCTCCAGTTCCTCAGCCAAAGCCCGTTTCCTACTTTGAGGGCGAGTTAGGAGGCCTCAACATGGTAATGAGATGCACTTCACTCCATTTTCAGGAAGTTAACGATAACGTTGCCTCAAATCACAAATTAAATCATATATATATATACATATATATATATAAAAAAACTGAAAACTTGAGTAATGAACATGAAAATCCAGCTTTGATCACAGGAATAAATTACATTTTAAAATATAAACAAATAAAAAAGTAATTTTAAGTTGCAATAATATTTCACAATAATATGAATGCAGTGTTTATTGAACATCAGAATTTTAACCTTTAAAAATGAACCAAAACCCAGAGCCTTCTGGGAAATGTTGCAATCAATATAAATATGGATGATTATGTGCATGTGTGCATGAATGCATGTTACAGCTCGAGCCTGGAGCCTTGTGCCTTACAAACTCTGAGTCTGACTGCGGTGCTGCCGTGAGCTCTCAGAAACGCCAAACTAAACCCAGAAACACGGATAAAAGAGACAGAAGCATGAGGTATGGACATTTACACAATCAGTGTGTCAATTCAGCCAATATACTGTAAAAACAGTTCAACTGACCATAATAAAAGATATATTTGCATGAATACAAATACCCTATACATGGTTAAAATTAAAATAGACATCAATAAAATACATTTTTGCATGAATTCAAATATCCTGCATGGTTTCAAAGTTGCACTCAATCATTAATTTCTCTTTGCACTTTATGTCATGCATGTTATTTGGTTGTGCATGTCTTTACATCTCTAGCTTTGTGCCTTAATTGCTTTTGAGAAACACCACATTTTAATTCAGTCTGAGTTTGGTTTTCATTTAGCTGAATAACTTATTCCTTCTACTGTTTAAACATTCACTTTCTCCCTTGTTGATACTACAGTAAATTTTTCTGAAAATTATTCATTCTCTTCTTTCAGTTCCGCCAGAGAGCACTTCATAGACGACATTCATCCCTTGAAACTCATTACAGCCAGTGAAAAAGAGACCGATGTCCAGAAGTACACAGCAGGTACATGCATTTGCTGAGTATGCAGTCATGCACAACATGCATGCACATTTTGAACATTCGGATGGTATTTTCAGGAACAATTAATATTAATAATACCACAAAATGCACAAGTACTATTTGAAGTCATTTCTGCATCCTTAGTATCACCTGCATCAAACTTTGCAAAGCAAAGGATTTCACCTCAACACACATAGACATGTAATGAGTGTATTTATGTATCAGCAATTGTTTTAAAATACAATCCTGTCATGTATGTTTCTCTTCATTTCCAGATTCTGCTGTTGTAAACTTGAGTAATGGCCACAGTGGTGATAGACGCAAATTTAAAAGCCACAGGAATGAGTCAGTTAACCCAATAATGCCACAATGTGCTGATGCAAAAGTGCACAATGAATTCAAGGACAAAACATCACAACAGTCGTCTCGCAATGACATCATCGTCATAGAAAGCCACTCCATCAATCATATTTCAACTCTAACGGTGTTTAAAGGACATCAGGGAAACAATCAAATGCACAAATCTCATAAAAAGAACAGAAGCTCTGACCGACAAAAGTATTCAGTCTCCGCTAACGTGAAATCTGAGTGTTTTCCGTCAAATAACCGACAGTGTGAGCTAGTCCCAGTCTGCGTTCACGATGCAAAACCTCAAGAATCTCTCCTTCCAGTGGAAAATCAACAACCAGACCAGGGAACCAATCAAACGCCTGATAAACCGGTGGGAGGAGACTGTGGGCGGAGCCAAAGTCCCAAAACAACATTTGAAATGGCACATCTTTGCCAAGCTTATGGAATACAAGAAATGCCCAATCAATCGCCAAACGCTCAACCAATCATAACTTCTGACAATCAATTGACACCCACCTCTGACCAATCCAAACCAGAGCTATGCATTTATGAGGAAATCCAGTTTAGCCCGCCAAGATCAGAAGATGTTGAAGATAATCAGAAGAATCAAACCAGTGAAGATGAAACACAACCATCAAACCTCACTGTAAACGAGTCTGGACCGACTCACACTGAGGTCAATGGGGAGTACAGAACAAAAAATACAGAGAAAAGTCAACCAGGAAGTGATGTTACGTGCAAGAGAGGGAAGCAGAAAGTTTACAGCTCCTTAATGAAAAGCTCAGTAATAAATCATAATGTCCAGGACTGCCGGCCACGGATAACCGTGCTCAGCACCAGCCTGTAGACTAGAGAGCGGCTGCAGAAAGTGTGAGTGAATGAGGCAATAAGACACAAAAAAAGAGAGAAGAGTTGGAAATTCTGAAGTGGATTGATAGTAAATGGTAAGATTAAAGTATTGAATAGGGAATTAAATCCCCTTTGCCTTCAGAAAAGCTTCAACCCTTAATGGAATATAATCATATCATGCTTATCTCTGTGTGTGGAGATCCTGTCTGATTAGGGATGAAGAAAACTATATTTCATGTGAAACTCATAAACTGCCGTTTTAGTTGAGAATGGTGCTGATTAAACACTGGTCATTTTTGTGTCATTTAGCAACTGTCATAAGAAGAATTCATAATTTTTATACATGCACACTAAATTTCTTTGACTACTGAGATAATACCTCTAATTGCATTCAAACTCTTAAGGTTATTAATTGACCTGGAAATATGCCTATTCCTTACATTTCTACATGTGCATTAATCAATTAAAAAACTTTGTGATTTGTTTGACCAATGATAGTCTCATATTGTAAACACATCTGTGGCTTATTAATGGCTTTCTGTGATTTTGCCAAGTAAGACAATGTTCCTGGATCAACATCCTTGTTAGACGTCCTATAAACAGACAGATTTAAAGGTTATCAGTTTCCTCTTAAAAATTAAGACTGTTTGCCTGACAGAAATTTTGACTCCAGAAGCAAATAAAAGTGGTTGATCCAGGAAAAAGTCATAATAATATATTAGAAGTGATTTATTAAAATAACTTTGTACTTTCATTGCAGTGTTATGTGATGCTGTTTTTGTTGTTATCTAATTAAATCATCTCATGTTTTGATCCTACACATTCTTTTATTATTGTATTTACCAACAGCAAACCCAGAGAGTCACAATGCTAACATATAATTATAAAACTCTGATCTGGATATAATATATGATATGCATAGGAGACGCTGACTCAAAATTGTGATCATTCACTCAGTTCTGAAAAATGAAAGTTTCGTCATCCTTTACTCATCCAAATGTTACTCCAAATCCATACGATTTACTTTCTTCTGTAGAACACAAAATACGTTTAGCAGAATGTCCAAGCTGCTCCTTTTCCATAAAAACGCCACTGGTTACGCCTGTCATGGCCCAGAACTGAAGAAAGTATCCTAAAAATGATATTATAATAGTAGTCCACACGACTCGTGCGCTACATTACTTTCTGAAGCCGTGTATGAGAAACACACCGAAATTTAAATCGTAAAATCTCTTGAATCTCCTAGCGCGTGATTGTAAACAGATATCAAACAAATTAGCTGTGAGCAAAGTGACCTTTCTGATTTGAGATTTTGAATCTCAGTGACTGTTTTGATTCACCTCAGTGACTCGGATTGCTTTCGAATCTGTTCACTAAAGGAATTCGTTCAGAATCCTTCACTGATTCGTTATGTCGCTCCTGCAGTGCAGGGCCTATACAACAGTAGCGGTTCAGTTGGTTCATTCAGTGGCGCTCCGCGTTCAAATTAAAAGGATCAGATTTGCATATCGCCGCCCAAATGTTCACACAAAGAAAGAAGGCGTAACTTTGATTCTCTAAAATGGGTAAACATGATATGGCAAGGTGTGAATTTTGTGGACAAGAAGAAACACTGGAACATGTTATATTGCACTGTCAAAAATATGAGACTGAAAGAATGATTCTAATGCTAAATTTAGAAAAAATAAAAATGCAAGTTACACCGAGATATATTTGACAAAATAACTCAAGGAATGAATGCTATAAGTTGTGGGAGAGAATAAAAAAAAAAAAAGGGGGGTAGGAAGTAAGTCAGTTTTTTTGATCCACACTCCATACCAGTTGGTGGCGGAAATACACCATTTTGTTGTTTGTCAACCGCCAATAAAATTTCAAGAAGAAGAAGAACTTTGATTCTTGCTATTGTTGCTGCCGCCGCCATGTTGTGAAAAGCGAAACTACTTTGTTTGGCCTTCCAAAAGAGGACACGACTAGAAATCAGTGGTTAAGTTGTATTGACAACACTGTTCCAGAACAGTTCAACCCAAATATTCAGATGTGTGCAGCGCATTTTATGGAGGACTGTTTCCTGGGAGAGTAGACTTCAATGCCGGTGTCTGTTTCTATAAAGTGGGGCAATTCCAAATTTGCAAGGACAGTCTTGCGCTCCTGACTCACAGTAAGTACGTTTTCATATTTAAAGAATTTGCCACTGATGATTCAAACGTGAGTTTTGAGCAGTGTAGAGTAGCGCTTGTTGTTTGTCGTTTCTCCGATCACAAATGCAGACGTGGTTTTATGTTTACGCAACGCAATGCATAAAAAGACAGTATAAGTCATTATAATCCGTAATTATGTCCCCACTGGATGCAACAAATGCCTCGTTTATAATGGGTTTTAATGTTTTTGTCTCGTCGCTCCGGCCGGATACGGCATCACAGTATGGTAGGGGCGTAACATTTCCGTCACACGCTTGAGGTATTCGGCCAATCACAACGCACTGGATAGCTGGCCAATCAGAGCACACCTCGCTTTTCAGACCGATGAGCTTTGTAAAAATTGACGTGTTTCAGAAAGGCGGGGCATAGAAACAATAATGTACAGTATGTGGAAAATAATGTTTTTTTAAACCTTAAACCGCATAAACATTTCATTACACCAAATACACAAAATAATGTTCTTTTTAGCAATATCATATGACCCCTTTAAAAAAACTGACTCGTCAGTAAAGTGGGCGTGTTCGTTCCCTAGGTCCAACCAATGAAATTCATTATTATGAGTGGGAAACTCGGAATTTTCTTTAAGCACCGAGTTTCCGAGTTGGGGGCATGTCAATGAGAAACATGGTGGAATCGATGGATGGTAATTTTTTTTTTAAATTGATAGTTTAGTTGTCCTATAAACTTAAATTGGTCATGTTCTTGTTACGCAGCTGAAATCCAAGTAAAAAAATGCAGACCATGTTGTATTTTCTTGTAATTTATTAAAAGAAGGTACACCGCCATCTTGTGCCGACTAAACTGACTTGAACGCACCTGACATCGTAATTATGACTTGTCAACTTGTAAGTACGAACGTCCCAGGAGGACTTGAACGCAGCATCAGCCTATTTAAACCATGTTCACTCTATCTTTCAGTAGTAGGCTTTGCAAGTTGTTACTTTACATTGCTGAGCACTCTCCCTGGTTTTGTGTCTCTTGGTTTTTTGGATTACCCTTTTGCCTGTTTCCTGTCTGGTCACTAGTTTAGGTTGTTTATTTGTGTTTGACCATTTGCTTGCTTTATTGACACTGGATTATTCAATAAATACTGCATTTGGATCCTCACTCAAGTCTCGGAGCAGTTACATAATATATCTCAGATCACATGTGCGAGTCGCCGCAGACCACAAAATGTATCGGAGCTATTTGAATTCTACACAGAATGCTATTTTTTATAGCAATATGGATGAGATTGTGGCTGGCATACCCTGTCAAATGCAGATTTACAGAGCTCAACGGCTCTAGTCCAAGCTGTGATATAAACGAACGCTATTGGCTATTTTAAAAAGGGGCGGGCTGCTTGATATGTCCCGCCCTGTCTTTCTGTTTCAGTTCAAATGACGTCAACACATAGAGTAACGCTGCGTGTTTTCTAAGCATTTCAGGGAACCTTTAACCAAAAATAATGAAATATTACTAAGAATAATTAGTATAGTAGTAACAAATGAATGATCACAAAAAATGCTTTTTACTGTGTTATTGTGGATATTTTTATTTTATTTTGTTTTGTTGCAGAAGCTTACAACAAGGTGAGAACAAGGAGAAAATGAAGAGCACAGACAGCGAAGGAAGCGACTTAAGGAGCCGATGAGCACTGTGGAAACCTAAAAACCTGGACGGGGCCGTGACCTGACTGGGTTTGAGGCAAAGAAAGGTGCAACAGGGGCTGAAAAAAACATGAGCCGGCAGGATGCAAAGGTGTGGATCAGGTGGGAAGCAGCAACAGGTCTCTTATGCGCTATATGGACTCTTAAAAATAAAAGTTTGCAGTGATGCCAAAACATACAATTTTGGGTTAGAACTTTCAGTGAACAGTTCATAAAAGAATTTTTTTTGTGTGTGTGTGAAGAACATTTTAATAATCTGAATAACCTTTTTCCACTATAAAGAACTTTTTGTGGAATGGAAAGGTTTACGTAATAGATGTTAAAGGTTCTTCATGGAACCATAGATAATAAAGAACCTTTATTTTTAAGAGTGTATATTAATTCTAGACTTTAAAAAACCCTATGTATGATGGCCTGCATGGTGCATTTTCAAAATGACATATGTGAAACTGAAAATGTAGGATTACAAAAGGGCATAAGCAGACTATATAATGAAATACACATGAACAGTAATTTATATATAAAGTCATATGACGTTTTACAGTGTAAAATAAAGTCTCCCCCTCATTCCTCTTTCTTGAGTATTAAGCAAGAGGACTGTCTTCCCACCCAGAAACCTGGCAGAATTTTCTCCTTTATGGGATTTTTAAACCTGTGAAGAAGTTTCACTTCCTTTTTCTTTGAATCTTCCTCTGTCTCCACGGTGTAGAAGCAGAGCAGACCCGCGGGCTGATCTACATACACGCCTATAGTGCAGCACTGAGGCACGTCTGCCACCCTGCTGTTGATTCCTTTATGCCAGGCGTCATAGCAGGATCCGGCCCAACCCAGACCCCACGACTCCTCGTTCTCCCCGAGGCCACAGGGACCGTCGCCTGCCTTCCTCCCAGCAGCCTCATATGCTGCTCCTATAACCACCCAGCCAGAGTACAGCACCTCCCAATAACAGCGCGACGCCCAGACAGACTCCTTACACAGCACCTGTACACACACACACACACAGAGAGGAATGTGCGTTATTATTTTGGAAATAGTGCATGAGAGAGAGACAAAGGCAGCAGAACTATCTGGTGTGTGTTTGTGAGTTGTGGCCCATTCAGAATTTGAGAATGCATACAAAGTATATGGCTTTCCCATATGTTTTGTTCATTTTATATATTTTTCATGGTGTATATTTGATGTAATGATAAATTACGTTGTGTCATCTCACTTAGCATAAAGACTCTCACTAAATGAATGCACTGTAAATGATTATTGTTGTTAATAATAATAATAATAAATGATAATTTACAATGCTTTCATTTTGTGAAGGTTTTTCTGTACTGGTAAATAATAATATTATTGTTGTGTGCATTATTAGTGCATTTTTATGGTTATATATGAAATGTTATTAAATGTAATTGTTAAAATTATCGTTTTTTTTATCAATTGATTATATTCAGAAGTTATGCAAAAATAAATGTTTTGGACATTTTGAGATTAAAAATTAAAAAATTTATTTTGATGGCTGAAATCTGAAAATATTTCAAATATGTCAATTCAGACGGTGAAAATATTCTTCCTTACATAGGCACAAGTAATAAAACAAGTAAGTTAATTAAGTAAAACGTTTGCTGGACAAATTATGTACGAATAATAATAAAAAAACAATAATAACAATAATAATTGATTATTATTAATAATTATCACTTATCAGTGCAGAGAAAAACAATGCACTGTGAATTATTATTATTCTTTTTATTAACAACAACAACAACAATTCAAAGTGTCTCTCTCAGAGGTAAGAGAAAGTAAGGTGTGTGTGTGTGTTTCACCTGAGGGCTGTGGTCAAATCTCTCTGGCCTGTCCAGGTAAGGACACACCTCATCTGTCATGCGGGACACTTTAGCCCCGCCCTCTGTCAGCCACAGCAGTTTATTGGCAGATCGTTCGTCCAGTGAAATATTGAGCCAGTCTGAGATAACAGGATCTGGTCAGTACTGACTTAACTAGTGTTTGATTCCTGTACATTTATTTTCCTATTTATGTATTTTACTTTTGTTTTTATTCTTGTAAAATTTGTGCTGCGTGTGTGACTCACAGTTAAGCAGCTCCTCTCTGGACGTCGGCTCTGGTATGTTCGGCTCGTAAACTGGAAGCTTTTCTGAAGATAGACAAATGTCAGTGTAGATTTAGATTCTGGTGTAATGCTAATGATAATACAGATTATTATCATGCAGACAGATGTTTAGTCAATCACCAGCAGGAATATTTCTGACTTTGACTTTCCTTCCTGAAAGAAAGAAAGAAAGAAAGAAAGAAGGAAAAAAAAAAAAAAGAGTTTGATCATTAAATTCTCACACTGATCTGCTGCACTCCATTATGCAGCGCTCTGATTGTTGTTAGGATGACAAAAAGGTTTAAAGGGGTGGTTGATTGCGATTTCACTTTTTTAACGTTAGTTAGTGTGTAATGTTGCTGTTTGAGCGTAAACAATATCTGCAAAGTTACGAAGCTGAAAGTTCAATGCAAACGGAGATATCGTCTTTTAAAATTCTGGCGGTTTAATGCCTACAAAAACGGCTGGTAGGGACTACAACGAGTTACTTCCCGGGTTCGTGACGTCACAAACCCAGATAAACCCCGCCCTCGGGAAAAGGCAGCAAAGGGGGCGGGGCCATGCTGTGCTGCTTTAGAGAAGAGGAAGAGAAAACTAGGGGTGCACTTAAAAATCTATTCATATACGGGTCGTGATTCTGTCTTCTAACGATTCTAATGGATTCACAAGTTTCAAAATCAATGTTCAAACGCAGCGGTTCTTAATACTGTTCCTTGCGTTGCCTGCTCAGCCTCTCTCTCTCTCATTCAGATTATCAGCTCAGTGAATACACTTATTTTCACATATTATAGCTATGAGAAGCATTATACATGGATGCGCGTGCAGTTGCCGTACTGTATTAAAGCTTTAATCAGGACAAAACCGTACATTAAAAGCTAACATAAGCAGTAGCATTTACAAATAACAGCAAATCTAATAGTATGAGACAACAACAAACAAAAAACATAGGCCTACCATTAAAAGCCGTGCCTGCGCAGGTTCTGCACAATCCTCTTCAATAATATCCTCTGCTTCTCAATCGGGCTCAAACTGATAAGCAATATTAACGATGCAGTTGTTTACAATACAAGCGGAGCACATGCCACTGAAGTGAGAGGGGGGTACGTTTAGACACGCACTAGAGGCGGTTTAGCCAATCACAACACACTGGGTTAGCTAACCAATCAGAGCCCATCGCCTATTTCTGAGGGCGGGGCTTCATAAAAACTCATTTCTCAGAGAAGGGACAGAGCGGTGTGGAATAAAGGTAAATTATGTGAAAAATGAGTTTTTAAAAAAATGAAGCGTTAACACGTTAGACTGCACCCCATAAACACGAGCCTAGAAAAGCCTAGACAAGCCTAGAAAAAAGCCTTTAAATGTTACTACTTATGTTACTTTTTTTTTTTTTTTTCAAATATGGACATAAAATTGAAAATGCGGTATCATTTATGTAATTGGAATAAAGGTAAATTATGTGAAAAATGAGTTTTTAAAAAAATGAAGCGTTAACACGTTAGACTGCACCCCATAAACACGAGCCTAGAAAAGCCTAGGCAAGCCTAAAAAAAAGCCTTTAAATGTTACTACTTATGTTTCTTTTTTTTTTTTTTTCAAATATGGACATAGAATTGAAAATGCGGTATCATTTATGTAATTCATGCATTTCCTAACTTGAATGTGAATGAGATGTGAACACTTTGCATTAAAATCAATGGTTACGGCATTGTTTGTGCCAATAGATGAACCTTATAAAAGGGGACATGACTTATCTTGTCAAGTTAAAGGGGGCATAACAGACACAGTTTCTCCCAATCTCATGTTAATCTTGAGTACCTATAGAGTCATACTGTATCCTTCATATCTCCAAAAAGGCTTTAGTTTGATCATATTTATAAAAGAAAGACACAGCTTTACGATTCTCTCCGGAAAAAGCCGAGCTCCTGGAGGTGCGCCGTGGGCGGAGCTAAAGAGTGACTTACAGTAAGTTTCACTTACAGTCTGCAGTTCTGAATCATGACCGAGATCTTTTATAGCTGGGACCGCTCCATCTTTCAGTATCAAACAATGTGCAAATCCAGCATCGAACTGGGCCTTGTTAATTAAACGTTCGTCAACAAAACACATTTGTGAAACTCCGTTGCTGGTCCGGAAAAACAAACTGTATCCACTGTTTACATAACGCTGGGTTCTTTAGAAAGCTGAACAAAGTTAAAACCCTTACAACCAAAAACACACTTCTTTGGATTTGAGACATTCTTCCCGAGTGAGTCCCGTGCAGCGCTGCTGCCGGATGAAGCGCGTTGATGGGCGCGCTCTTGCTCTTGCTCTCGCTCTGGTCGATGCCTGCGCACGCGCACTCTTCCGAGAAATGCCCATATAAGGAGTTCCACCCTCGTCTACGTCATGAAGAGCCACGATCGAAAAAAAACTCTCCGAAACTTGTACGAACCCGCATGTAAGATTTTTGGCACAGAAATACTCGTCATACGTCCAAATTGTTTTTTGAAACTTTGTCCATGCTTAGCATGAGAATCCAACTCTTTAACAGTGTAAACAACTCTGAATGCATGAAACAACATTGTACTCCCCTCCCCCCTCCCCC